GAGGGAGGTCTGGGCCTCCCTTCTGAAGCTGCTGCCCCCGCGACCCGACCCCGGATAGGCGGAAGAAAATGGATGGATGGATGGATGGATGGATGGATAGCTCAGAAACCCAAGCAACTGCCTGACATCTCCAACTGTCTTGGGCTTGCGGTGTTTCAGGACCTGCACAGCCTCAAGGCCCTTCGGGTCTATTCTTATGCCCTCTGATGACGCCAGCCGACCCACATTTCGAACTTCCTTGCAGAAAAGCTCACACTTCTCCAGTTTCAATTTTACACCATGGCATTGACGCAAGACTCCCACATGTTCTTCAAATGGCGTGGAGAAACACAGCACATCGTCCAGATAGGGAATGCAACACTCGTATCAGAATTGGTGGAGGAACGGACCCAGGGTGCAGGCATGTTTCAAAAGGTGCAAAAAAGGATTTATTTAAATAACAAAAGAGGGCTGATGGCAGCAAACTTACAATTTCACGGAGGGAACGCTCAGGCAGAGGATCAAGGAACAGAGCAGGAGACTCACAGAAACACAATGAACCGACAATAAGACTGAGATAGGACAGGGCTTAAATACACTGAAAACTAATGACTACACAGAAAACACCTGAGGGGAAACACAAGGGTGATAATCAAGGTAATGTGGGGCAGCTGGGCAGAGACACACTGGGGAAACATAGAAACACTAGGAAAACCAAGGTGAAAACTGACAAACCATGACAACTCATCCCTGAGGGTGTTGAGCATTTCCTCCATACTCCTCTGGAATGCTGCTGGGGTGTTTGATAGGCCGAATGGTATTCTGACCCATCCATCTTACCCCCATGGAGTGGTGAATGCAGTGGTGTCTCGATCTCTCAGCAATAAAGCCTTGGTGGTAGGCCTTACCCTGGTCAAGGATCGAGAACCAACTGTATACCCCCAGAGATTCGGTCAGATCTTGGATGAGGGGGAGGGGTTGTCTGTCCGGCACAGTCTTTGAATTAAGGAGTCGGTGGTAGTCAATACAGAGATGTAAAGACCCATCTTTCTTCCTTACACAAATCACCGGGGCTGCATATGGTGACTGCGATTTCACTATCCAGCCTTTCACCAACAGTTCTTGGATGTGTYCTTTGACCTCCCTGTAAAGTGGTTTCGGGATTGATGCATAGGCCTTCTGCACTGATGTCTCATCTTTCAGTCTGATGTCCATCTGCAATGAAGGCATGCAGCCAATATCATCTGAGTCACCCGTAAATGCATCACACTCCTCAGTTAAGTTTGGTTACCACCTGTCGTTGCTCGAGACTCAAGTGACTGGTGTCGACTTGGGGTAACCAGGACTCAGTGACTGGGATTCGGGGGTTGTAGATGTTGTTAATGTGCGATGCAATTGCTTTTGTTGGCTGAGGTCCAGTGTGTGTTGGTTCTGCTGTACCTGCGTCAAGGATTTTGGCCACGTTGTATTGTGCCAAGGGGGGTTCTTTTGGGTATAGTGATTTCGTGATCTGAATGATTGGAAACCGGCACTTTGACATGGGGTTGACGGGCCTTCCTGATTTCCATGAGGCACAGTTCCCGCAGAGGTCTGACAAGGTAGTTGGGACTGTGTATGGCCGCCCACTCACGATCAATCATGCTGATGTGTGAGCCAGTGTCGAGCAGGGCTGTTACTGGGTAGTCACTGATGATTTGGTAGATAACTTGGTGTGAGGTCTACTGGTTGGGACTGGGGTTCTGGGCTGGTCTCTGACAGTCCCTCGGCAGCAACCACCTCCCGTTTAACTGGTTCTTGGTGTGTTAGAGGCACCCGACAGCTCTATGTCCAGCTTCTCCACATGAAAAACAGTGACTGCATTCCTGCACATTCTGTTTGGTGCATTTAGGGCAGCGAGCAGTCCCACCTTTTCCATGGTTTGGGTGGTAACTGGGCCTAGAGTGGGGAAATTGGTTGAGTGATGGTTGAGGGGAAAAGTGTCACCTGTGGAGCTGGTGTTTGGGCTACAGGTAACATGGGAGCCATATCTCTTTGGTGGGGTGACTGTTGGTCAAGCAGAGTAGTTACTAGATGTCTGAGTGTTTCCACCTGGGCACTCAGTTGCTGTATGGCCTGAGAGTTATCATTATCTGCCTCATTCTGGCTTGGTTTGACTTTACTCTGACAGTTTTTAGTCTCTATCTTTGGGCAATGGGTAGAGGGTGCCTTCTGGCGAGGAGGCTGACCTAGTCTACATTGATGCTCATTCTCGTCAGTGATTGTTTTTGTCACTTGTCTGAGGATTTCTTCATCTGTTACTTGACCATTGGATATAAGTGGACTGAGTCTTTGTCGAAGATCTGCATGCTTCGGCCCTAATCCTTGGTATATGGCATGAAGAAAGACTTCCTGAATTGTCCTTGGATCATAGGCGATGTCGTCACTGGCCTGTCTTGACTGGAATATTAGTTTTTGTTTTAGGCCAATCATTTGGTACAGGAACTGCTAGGGGGACTCCTGTCTGCCTTGCACACGAGTTCTTGAAACATTTCAGTGCTTGTTTTCTCACCGAGATGGGCACAGAGGAAGCCTTTTCGCTGTGCAACCATAATTTCTTCTTTGTTTATTAGCATTACTTTAAAGGTGCCTGGTTTCACAGTTTTCAGCACACCACGGACTAACTCCACCTCCGTGAAACCCTCTTTTATTCCCACATCAATCTGTCTGGTAATGTTGTTATAACTTATCTCAGAGCACTGGTCCCCAATTTGCACACCATGTACATTAAATTCACGGAGCTGTAAGTAAGGGAGTTCTGCCAGTGCCACCACCCTCTCTGGAATCATTTCGTGTGGCGTGAAGCTTGGGGCTGACCCAGCTTGAACCCTTGGGAGTGAAGATGGTAAGGGAGAAGCAGCTGGTGCTGGGACAGCAACTTTGCACTGCCGTAGCCTGTTACCCAGCTCCTCATAAGCCTTTTTCTGATCCTCCACTGACTGGGTACTTGGGTTGACTTGAGTGTTGTGGTGTGAGGGTGTCAGTGTGGTATTGTTGTTGAGATGTACAGGTGATTGTGTAGTGTCTGCTTTGTTCTAGATTGAAATGGTGTTGGTGGCAGCACATATAAACATTAGCATCATCATTTGCAATAACAGGTACAGCAACAGAGATAATGGTTTCAATTTATTTGTGTAACAAATCATCCAACACCAACAATCGACTAATACCTTCATCTTCCAGTGCCAAAAGTGTGTCTGATTGCAAGTAAGTGATCACATAGTCTATGCAGCTTTCCTCATCACTCTGGTCCAGTTGAATGGGGTCTTCGCTCTCAGCTGTGATGTCAGCTGCAACATGGTAGATGTCTGTACTTGACAGTTTGAACAGGCTTCTTCTGAACCTCCAAACAAGTTCTCTACTAACCGATGACATAATGTGTGTAACAGCGTCCGTCTTCTGATGTATTGTAGTGTGTGAATTTAGCGAAAGGACTCTGCAGTGTCCCTTCTGGTAGCTGTGTGATGAATCCTCTCACTCGGCTCAGCAGCTTGACTCTCCAGCAACTTGCATCTACAGGTTCCCTGGCTCAGCAGTGCGGCTCCCCGGCGACATGAAAATCGTTCTCTTTGATCCCTCCGTCTGAACACCCACTGGCTGACCTCTGGTCTGTAGCTTGGCACTGTCGTCTTTTGGTTCTGTTATCACTGGATCTGCTCCTCGGTGTGCATGCAGAGGGGATATCCCGGACGAGCCCCCAAAATCTGTTACGGGTCTCAAAAAAACTTGAGTGCCACATAAACAAAAATGTTGGTGGTTCGAGCCGCTCACTTGCCTGACCTGGAAAACACAAGTAGAAACTCAGGAAAGATGGAGACAGGACCACACACTTCTTTTCCCAGATGTCCTCTGACACGAGAGTGGGGTGTCGCAGTCTAAATGGTCCGGGCGCAACTGTGTGCATCCGTTCCACCCTCCCCTACCTGTATTGAGCCCACTTAATGGAAAAAAATTATCTTGGTTCCCCAAAACATATATTTAAATATACACCTGTGATGGCAGTCTCTTATTCAGAAAATAACATACCAAATGTACATTTCTGAGGTGCCACACTGCTCAATTCTAAATTTAGATAGTGTAAATCTGCACATCATTTGATGAAATTAGTAAAACCCCTAAAGTACAAAGGAGAAATTTAGGGCCGCAATTAGTGCATTTGCACTTTAGGGGACTAGTGCCCGTCACTGCTAACTGACTTAAAAAAATGTACAAAGAAAACAAACTAAACTATAATGAAAAATCCCAAACTATTATAACAATGCTTCAGACCTTTAGCAGTCGCTTTCTTCTGAAAGAGCCATTATTCTGGCTTGTAACAGAGGACCAATCTTCTTTGGGTTAACCTACCAGGGAAAATTAAGCTACATTCACAAGGAATGCATTTTGAGCATCCAAAATGCACTTGACGCGTGCATTTGGCTGCTTGTGTTCTTTCAGATCAGACACTTTCGGTTTGGGAAGAGCCTCTGTTGTTTTCCTCTGCCGGTCTCTGTTTAATGGTAGATGAAATTAAGAAAGGGACTTTTCTTTATTTACTGAGAGTAAGTAAACATCACACTAACCAGATAATTAATTCACCAGATAATCCAGAAGCGGTCTGTTTGGTGAGTTTCAAATTCCAGGAGCTGCGAGCTGACGAGGCTCGCTTTCAGAACTATTTTTGTCCCGAGCTCAATTTAACACTGTGGTCAGTTTAACAAGCAGCTGACCCACATCAGTGCTGATATCTCCAGCCAGAACACCAAATACAGATGGTCAATTTCAGCTAAAGGGCTCCTGTCCGTCTGTTACTGAACAACATTCAGGAAATGGTCACGTGGAAAAATGCACCGCTATGTCACAGAGCAGAGTGTCTCTGATTGTTTGATGAGGCGCATCTAGCAGCAAAAGTTCAGATTTTTGAACTTGAGCGTTGGCTGCTTTGGATGCGCCGCATGCACATCAAATGCCCAAACCATGCATTCCACTTCAAAACGCACCAAGCTAAATGCGCTAGATGCACCGCAAGAACCTTAGACGCACATCCACCATAGACTGCATGTAAACCTGATGCTCCTGCTGCTCAATATGCGTTGTGTGAACCAGCATTACAGATGCCCCAAAAGACATACCTGCTTGGATCATTCCGATGCACAAACTCCTGGCAACTCAAGAATAATTCATTTTTTATTATATAAAGTAGGGAATAAGTAAGAATAAAAAGGACAACAAAAACAGTAAGACCTTGATTGAAACCCTGTAGACTTGAGATTTTGCTTAAAAACCCAAATTAAACATTGAGTGGACCTGGGAAACTAAAAATGGTGTACTAAATCAAACTCAGTCATTAAACAGTTCTTTAGATTTATTTTGTCTTGTTTTAAAAATATTGTTGCAAAACATTTCAATACTAACACAATATTTCCAGCATACTTTCTGAAAAAATGTTAGCCAGTATAAATACTAGGAGACCAAAACAATTTAGCATMTGTATACCTGAAAAACAAAATTTTATATCCACAGATGCTTTGCTGCGTCAATTGAAGGATCTGGGGTTGGATCAGTTCTACAGAGAGAAGCTCTCACTCAGCAGGATACTTCAGATCAGCGAGAAGACCATCAATGAAGAACCTGTCAAGAATAAATCAGATCTTCCATGGTATCTTCTAAAGAAACTGATGATGACAAATGTGACAGCTAGAAATGTGAAATRTGTATCTGAATCAGAAAMTATWGATTCAGATTCAGAAGATGAGTCTGMAAATTCAAAYACAGACATGTTAAATTCTCTTGATATAATCACTGCTCTCTTTCTGTGTTCTGATAGTTTTGTTCAGCAAGAATTGTCTCTAAAAATGTCCATGTGTCAGTTCTCTGTGCCTCTGCTGCTTCCCAATTGTGACACAAACCAGTGCACACTGATGCTGTGGGCCATGAGAGACATTGTTAAAAAGTACAGACCTCTGTCTCTCTCAGAGTCCAAAGGATTCAGAGAAGAAAGAATCGTTCTTTCTGAACTTCCAATGGTCTCCTTTGTCAGACTGGGTGAGTGCTCCTTKTCCAAATCAGAGATCCTGAATAAACTCCTCAGTACTCCTCAGCAGTACCATGACACCTTTGTTCACCACAACATGGAGTGTGGAGAAGCTCCAAAARTAATCTCCAATGGACTGACTGAAATCAGYTGGTACCTTCCCTGTGGAAKTRAAAACATGRACATCTTCAGTGAASCAGTGGCTGTAGCTAACCTTCATGGTGACATTGCTTCATTTAACACACAAACMTCTTTTTTGTGTCAAACATCTGCAGCAGTTTTTGTGTTCTTTGACCAGCTGGACCCTGAATGTGAACTGCTGACTAACAAAAACCACAAAGCTCAGATCTTCTTGGTGGGAAACCAGCAAAGTAAGAACTTCAGTTTAGATGCTGTAAAGAAAGTACAAAACAAGTTGAGCTTAAACAAAAACAATATAATTATAAAGAAAAAAACAACTGATGCAGATTTTGTCAAACGTTTGAGAAAAACTGTCAATGAGGTAGTTAACAACCCACAGATCAAAATGTCAATAGAAAAGATGGCTGATGTTGCTCATGATCTGGGAATATTAGTTGATGAAGACTCTTCAGAGTGCCAAGCTGGAAAGAAAAATGCAGACATCATCACTGAAGACATTAAAGACACACTGAAATTCAAAGAAGATCAGCTTCCACTACAAGGTGAAACATGGAAAGAACTGACTTGTTTAGAGAAAGAAGAGTGTCAGCTTCAAAAAGTTGGTTCTAACAACATAGAAACTTACAAAAGTAAACTTCAAAAAGAGAAAGAAGAACTACGAAAAAAACAAAACAGCTATGCAATGTCAAATGCCATGAAACATTTTATCANGATCAAAATGTCAATAGAAAAGATGGCTGATGTTGCTCATGATCTGGGAATATTAGTTGATGAAAACTCTTCAGAGTGCCAAGCTGGAAAGAAAAATGCAGACATCATCACTGAAGACATTAAAGACATACTGAAATACAAAGAAGATCAGCTTCCACTACAAGGTGAAACATGGAAAGAACTAACTTATTTAGAGAAAGAAGAGTGTCAGCTTCAAAAAGTTGGTTCTAAAAACACAGAAACTTACAAAAGTAAACTTCAAAAAGAGAAAGAAGAACTACGAAAAAAACAAAACAGCTATGCAATGTCAAATGCCATGAAACATTTTATCAGAGCCATATCCAGCACAGGAGCAGAGAGGTGTTATTTTCTGAAATGGATGCAGATGAACCTTGATAATCTGTCAAATAAAAAACTGTCTGGACTCAGAGARCTCTATAAAGAAAAAKGYMARGRTYCTSAGAACAAAGAGGAGATCAAAGAAATTGATAAACAACTTTCCAGCAGCTCACTGGGAWCTGAACACTTCTTCCGTGAAATGGGTCAGATCTATGAAGCTTCTCTGTTCCTTCCAGAAACAGACCCATCACGTCAACAGCTGCRACATCTGCCCAGACTCTGTGCTCAGTTGTTRTTGGATGGATTTCCTCTTGAGCTTGTAGATGGAGATGCATCCAACATTCCTCTCAGATGGGTGAGTGATGTTCTCTCTCAGCTCAATGACTTGGTGTCTCCAAACAACAAGATCCTGGTAGCAACAGTTCTTGGATTTCAGAGCACAGGAAAGTCCACTCTCCTTAACACCATGTTTGGAGTTCAGTTTGCAGTCAGCACTGGTCGATACACTCGAGGTGCCTTCATGCTGCTCATCAAAGTCAATGAAGACGTCAAGAAAACTCTCAACTGTGACTTCATGATGATCGTCGACACTGAAGGTCTAAAGTCACCAGAACTGGCACAACTGGACAACAGTTATGAACATGACAATGAGCTTGCAACACTTGTTGTTGGGCTGAGTGACATCACCATCATYAATATTGCAATGGAGAATTCAACAGAGATGAAGGACATCCTGCAGATAGTGGTGCATGCTTTCCTCAGGATGAAGGAAGTTGGTAAAAAACCTAAATGTCAGTTTGTTCATCAGAACGTTTCAGATGTTTCAGCTCATGAGAAGAACCTCAGAGACAGACAGCTGTTCCTAMAACAGYTGAATGAGATGACCCAGGCAGCAGCTAAAATGGAGAAGARAGARAMRAACAAGAACTTCACTGATGTGATGGAGTACAATCCAGATACTGGGAACWGCTACATTCCTGGACTCTGGTATGGAAACCCACCAATGGCACCAGTYAATGCAGGATACAGTGAGGCTGTGTATGAGCTCAAGAAAAACATCATCCAACAGCTGAAAAACTGTGAGTCAACTTCTAATAAMATCCTRGAGYTYMGARAGTGGATGAWCAGCCTGTGGACTGCAGTCAAACATGAAAACTTCATCTTCAGCTTCAGAAACAGCCTGRTAGCTGATGCTTACAKGAAGCTCTGTTCARAGTTCAACMARTGGGAGTGGGAGTTCAAAAAAGCAATGTACATCTGGGTTATCAATGTAGAAACAAGGATTTCTAATTTTGGTAYATTTGCTGCAAAWTCTGAACTATCTGACCWCAGAGAATTTATYAGTCAGTTGAAAAGTGAAGCAGYCACAGAGCTGACTGAATGGGAGACAAAACTGCTGAATTATCTAGAAGACTACTTCAAGCAGACAGTGGGTTATGTTCAATTGGTTGTGGGATACAAAGAGGAATTTTCAATCAATATAAAGAGTCTTCGACGACAAGAAGAAAGTTCTGTTATTAACCAGCTCACTGTAGCTGCTGACAACAAACAGGGAATGAAAGAATTTCACAAGATCATAGAGAATCACASAAAAGAAATAGAAAAATCAGTTTGTTCATTAATTGATGAATGCAGGAATAAAAAAGTTCAAATGACARATTCAGAGCTGAACAAAGAGTTTGACAAAATGTGGACTAAAACACTGAAYACCCTGCCTTTCACTGCTCAGAAACCTTCAGATGTCTTCTCCTGTGTGTTTTATCATTTGMGATYAAATCTGTCACAGAAGGGGAGTTATGCATCTGAACTGTTGAGTAAAAAAAGCCTCAAGGACTGTGGGTTGCAGCCTTTCAAAWACACAGGCAAAGAACTTATTGAAAAACCGTACAAAGAAAATGGACGGTTCAACGTAAACGATCCTGTAAAAACAAGGCAACAGTTTGCTGACATCATCATAAACACCTGTAGAGACTCAGTGTTTGATAAAAAGAACAGAAAAAACAATTATCATAAAACTTACATCCAGGAGATCCTTCATATCATTGATGAAAAGCTGAAAAATGCTGATGTTGGATTAGATATTGAGTTTGAAGTTTCTCTAAAACAACACATCTGTGGATTTGCAGCCAGACAGTTCCAGAAAATTCATGAAGATTTCATAAAAGAAAATGATCCCTACAGCTATCTGCAGAAAGACAAGGAGAAATTTTGTGCAGATTTTAAAGATCTCTTCCATGAGCAGGACCAGTGCCAGAAGAAAGCTGAAGAATTCACCAACAAATGTCTGAAACCTGCAGTTGAAGACTTTGTCAATCGATCTCTGGGTCTTAATTTAGTTGATGAAATGTTGAAAAGAGAGGAGTTCAGCACACGGATGAACTTCCAGTATGAGATTTTACTGGATYTACTTTCAAGAAACGACTTTACCTTGTTTCAGAAGTACAGTCATTCATATGAAAGTTATGTAAAATCCTGGATATCTGACAGAATAAAGGATCATTTCTCTGAAGTCTTCAGAAGTGAGTTTGAGGACAGACATGTTCAGATGAGCATTGACAACATAAATGAAGCCATCAAAACAGCTAAAGCAAAAACAACAGAGAGTGTGAAGACATTTGTTGAAAATATCTGCAGAGAACTTGGTGATAAAATGGTGATTTCCCAGGATGCTCTTRGTGCCTTCATGATCCTGAACAATGCTAACCAGGAACAGTTTGTTCACTGGCTCACAGAGTCTGTGAAGGACATGAAAGAAACTCTGAGAGAGAAGTTTAAAAACACAACCTTTGAAACTAAACTCCAACATCTTCACATTAACCCTAACAATGAACTTTTCATCAGAGTGATTGGTTGTGGCAAACTATGTCCGTTCTGTAGAGTTCCCTGTGATGCAGGAGGAAAAGACCACACTGAACACTTTGCTTCACTGCATCGACCATGGGGGATTGGTGGGACCAGATGGCAWGGCTCGCAGAAACTTGTCACTGACATTTGTTCTTCCTCTGTGATCAGTAGCCGCTGCTTTCACTGTAGTGAAACAGGGGATGAACTCCATTCTTACAAGGATTACAGGAAAATATATCCAGACTGGGATATTCGTCCAGATGTGAGTCTTCAGGCTTCAGATTACTGGAAATATGTGATGACAAAGTTCAACAAGGAGTTTGCTGCAGCATGTTGTGCAGAGCCTGCTGACATTCCTGATTCATGGAAAAATAYTGCAGAAAAACAAGCAAAAGAAAGTCTCAAGGAATCATTTAGTATTAAGTAAAACTATCATTATCCATTATTTTCTGAAATCAACTGATTCTGTCTCTTCTATGTTTTTATAACAGGATCAATTGGGTAGAAAATGGTGGGTGAATATCCCTTAAACTAATTTAAATGGTTAAGTTTTACTACAGTTAACACAGACCATTACTACTAAAACTAATAAGTGTATGACTGCAACTCAAAGTTAATTTTTTGTCTGTAAATGRTTGACTTGAAACATTTCACATGTACAACATATCTGCTGGAAATYATTTAATTTGTGCCTTCTTATAATGAATAAAATAAAACATTTTTCAGCCATGCTTACATTTTGTCAAAAGGATGTGGAGAATGATTTACTCTGTTATTGACATTTTATGTCAAATAATAAAYTGTAGTGTTCTCGTGCAGGGTGTAGCAACTCTGACTAAACACCGAGTTAAATCACAGCGAATGATGAGAGGGAGGCGTGCAGTAAGGTTGACCATTTACTGTTTGACTTCCTCATATACATGCTGCAGTGAAAACTGAAAGCAAAATTAACACAAAACAATACAACACTTAGTTATGTGTCTTTTAACAAACCTTATGGGACATTAATTTAGCCTAATGACAATGCAACATTACAAAACATCTTAAACCTAATTAAGAGCTCTGTAGTAAACTGATGTAAGGAACTTACACTTCTTATAACAAGGTTATAAGTTAAATTATTTAGCAAGGATCTTTCTTATTTTCTGTGAATTTTTCTTCTGTACAAGATGAATGACACCAGACACAATAAGTGATGTTACCAGTAGATTTTAGTTTGATCTAAAAATACACAATCATTTATTTTACACAATCAACAAAATCACTACAGTACACTTAATTGTGAGCAATCAATTTCCTATAAATCTTTAAAAATCAATAACAATCCAGATCGTGTCCGAACTTAATTGTTCATCAATTCAGCTCTTAAAATATACAGCAAATGTCAAGCGTAGATGTGGAATACCAGACATTTGAGGCTAATAACATTGGCAAGGCAGGTTGTTTAAAGATAAAGGAGGAAAATAAAATATTAGTATTTCTACTTGTTTTCTTAAATAAATGTGGGAAACCAGGAAGGCACGTGTCTCTGCGTTGACCTCAGCCAGACAGCGATGCTCGTAACAGCTGGCCATTACCTTTTTGATGAGATCAGCCACCTTTCCAAGTATTCGGCAGGTCTCTCAAGTCAGTAAAGAAAATCTGTCAGATTCCCTTTTAGCTGCTAGACACTCCAGGCRTGTTAAACWTCAGCATCTGCATACATTCGCATCCGCCACACAGGAGAGAGGCGAAGCTCACTGGATCCCGCTCCAAAATAAAAGTTGCTTCTTGAAGCTTTAAGCTTCGTATTATGGGTCACACCAAGCGTTGGTGTGTCCTGCGGCTGTAAAATTCGTCCTTTAAYTTCTGGACAAATTTCTTAGCCCAAAATGCTGCTCTCAGAGGAGTAGAGCTGTGTAGTGTTGTGGGCGGAAGGGACAGACAGCAGGCACAATTTGTGGCAATGGCCGCTGCCACCGGACTGCCAGAGGCTGCCACCTGAAATGCCTGCCACTCACTGCCACTAGGTGCCAGTAGCCGCCACGGACTACCACAGGTTGCCACTGGGTGCCAGAGGCTGCCACTGGGCGCCATTGACGGCCACAAGGTGCAAAAGGCTGCCAGACCATCTTCCACAACCGCTGCTGCTGTTTTGGAGGAAGCCATTGCCGATTTTCAGCAAAACGAGTCATCATAAATATTAGATATTCTTCATAGATGATTTTTTGATGATGTTATTATTTAATAAATGGTGAAAGACCTGTAATTTAAAGTGCCTGAATTTACTTGAAATAAAGTCTTTCACGTTCAAAAGCATGATGAACATTTTAAAATGTATTTTTTTAGAGACGAGTAATGTCAATCAATCAATCACCTTTATTTAACCAGGTAGAGCCCGTTGAGATTGAGATCTCTTTTACAAGGGTGACCTGGTCAAGTGGTCATCAGCACACGTCACATAGTAATTGACAAAAACATTTTACATTGAACCAAAAAGAAAATAAGGAAAAAGAAAAAAACTACAATCACAATAAATAGATGTTGACAGTTCAGAACCATCTGGATAAGGCAGAATTCTATAGGTATTTAAAATATTTGGTAGACCTGAAAAGAAATTTAGGTGAGCAAAAATAAATCGATGAATAAAAACAGACAGACATCATTTGAGTAAATACAGTTAAAAAAACTAACAGTGACATGTATAATGGATAAGTAATGTTTAGAAACATCTGCAATGGTCAAGTTTTTTGATGATGTTCTCTATTACAGTTGACATGAAGGATCTAGGAGGGATGAGTGTTGACAGTTTCAGATCTGTCTGTAAGTTGTTCCAGGCTGAGGGGGCTGCGAAGCTGAATGCTCTTTTTCCTAGTTCAGTTCTGAAAAGAGGAACTGATAGGAGGACTAGGTTGTTAGAGCGCAAGGAGTAATGACTATCAGGGCCGGATTAACACTTCGCTGGACCCTGGGCAACAATATTCAAGGGCCCCATCATCACGACTCCAGGATTACCAGTCTGGTAAATACAGAGTAAATTATTGCCATGTATAGTAAAAATACTCAATACTTCAAATTCTAAGCGTATTTTAATGTACAAATGCTCATAGAACTACAAATACACTGTCATTTTGTCAAGGACACTCCTTCACATGATGCTATAAAAACAAAACACATCATTATAATCTGGTAAACATGACCCACTACATTGAGATCGAGGGAAGTGTCCTCCATTTTCACAAAAGCAACACTTGACATTACACAACCCTCTCAGTCACCTGACCTGCCTCATGTGGACTGACCAATGAGGAGAAGATCTCAACTCACGTTCACAGTGACAGGCAGCCTCTGTGCAGCACAAGAGCTCCAGCAGACAGTTTAACAAAAGCAGGAGAAAACCAGACATTTTGCTGGTGCCTTCATTCAAGGTGTAACCATCATCTCAAAAGAGAGGGGGACACATTTTTTAGAGGTCTATTGAGTGATTTATCATCCTCTCTTATTAAATCACACCTCTCCTAAGTGGCTAAAACACATACAAATACTAACAGCCACAGTACATTTCCACTGACTGACTTTAGTTCTTTAAACTATTTACTAACAAAATCTAAAGTTTTAGCAGCCAAAGTATAGCCAGATGGAAAACACCATTACTGTAAGCAAACACAGACTTGAATAAGAACACTACCCATCCTGTCCACTGGTGTCTGTGACAACATGGAGGAGCAGAAACAGACCTAACAGACAACAGCTCACAGCAAACATAGAAACTAATAAACAGCAATCTGAATTGAATCTGTTTCACAAATTATCTGGCATGTTTCAAATTAATAATTATGTTAATTTCATTCAACAATCATGTAAAACAGCAGATTTGTACCAAAATATATATAA